TTCCTTAGATTCTTTGCCTAAGTTGGTCAACTTATAAAGCATGGGTTTTATATTTCTATTTGTGCTTTAATTGGGCATATGTACTGTGTTTCCAGAGAGTAGAGAATGACTCCACTTTGAGGATGTGAAAGGAATCTTCATATTGATCTTCCTGATAGAACTTGACTCCTTCCTTCTGGGGAAGAACTCTTCCCACCCCTACATGATGTGAAATCAGAACTGATGTAGTTCATTTTGAATGAAGGTGGCCCAATAGCCTGAAGTAGAGAGCTACACACAGGAAGAGTCCACACTGATGGCAAGGAATCCCACCACACAGGCATATTACTCACAAAATCAAAAGACAGGATTATCAGTAGAAGGAGAGGGAAGTTAGTTGTGAGTAGGAAGCCAAGATAGTGGGAGGGAACATGCATATTGAGTGAAAGGAAACCATCCAAACAATCATGAATGCATACCTAAGAGTGTTGTGGCAGCAAGAAATCTAGTCTGGAAGTCAGAAGGCTTGAGTTTTAGTCTGGGCTCTGACAGTCACTAGGAACCTGATGTGTTATTTAACCTCTCCGAGTCATGGTCTCTATGGTAAAATGAGAGTACTAGTACTTGTACTGCCTACTTCATGGAGGTGTTGTAAGGGAAATGCTTTATGAATCTTGAGTTGTTGCTGTCTTTTGAGGTCATTTCATTTGAAAAATTGAAAAACAGTGTTTGTTTTCAATTAACAAGAATTTAGTTGCTCTCCCTCCCACCCACAACCACTGGAAGAACAAAACCCTTGTAACAAATGTGTAGAGTTAAGCAAAACAAATTTCCATGTTGGCCACAACCAAAAGTCTCATTCTTTATCTTGAATCCATCACCTCTCTGTCAAGAGAGGGTAGTATTTTTCATCATTGGTCCTCTGGAATCATGGGGATGGCTAAATACATTATGGTAGTAATTGAATACTATTAATGGCATAAGATATAAAACTCAGGAAAACTCACACGAACTGATGCAGAGTGAAATGAACAGAACCATTTACACAATAAGGAACAATCTTGTAAAGACAAATTACTTGGAAAGATTTGAATACGTTGAATGATGCAATGACCATTCATTTCAATATTTTCAAAATATTATAGTTTTCTTGAACCAAACATTAAAGGAACACTGTAATGGCCTTAGCAAGTTTGTTGTTCCCTAGGAACAAAGCTTGGAATAGAGCAAATAGTTTTCTGAGTTATAGGAAGAGAGTGGATTTGGGTGTGGTGGGAATGTGCTCCCCATAGGATTCTGCACCACCTGCTTAACTTTCCTTCTCTTGGTAAAAACATGTGACTTGAAGTAGGATTTATGATAAAAAGGAAGGGGAAGGATTTCATTGGTTCTTGGATATGCCACTGCATTTTTTTTTTGTTGGATGAAAGACTACTGCTGTACAACTTATTACAGAGTCACAGAATTTCAGATCTAGAAGGGAATTTAGGGGCTGTGCAGTCCACCATAACCTGAACAAGAATACCCCTCTATAACATACCTAACAAATAGTTATCTAGTGTTTACTTGAAACTCTCCAGAGCTAACCCATTCTACTCTGGGGTAGCTTTAATTATGGGGAAGCTTTTCCTGACATGATGCCTAAGTTTGCCACTTTGCAACTTCCACTCAAGGCTCCCTCTTCTGCTCTTTGGTGTTACACAGAACAAATAGAATATTCTTCCTTTTTTACTAGTGAAATCTCTTAAAATACAGTAGGACGATTGTCAAGACCTCCTTAAATCTTTACTATCGTCACTTTCTTCAACCAACCAATCCTTGTAGGACAGGAGTTCAAAAACCTTCACCATCATGATTGCCCTCCTGGACACACTCTAGCTTTTCTATGTCCAACCTAAAAGTTGACAACCAGAGGTGAAGACAGTACTCCAGATACTGACTAGCATAGGGTATGATGGAACTGTCGTCTCCTTATTCTTAGATGCTAGGCTTCTCAATTCAGACCATGATTACATTAGCTTTCTTGGCTTTGATTTCACACTGTTGATTAATATAGAGCTTTCAATCCACTAAAATCCTCAGATCGTTTTCAGATAAAGTCCCATCTAGAGATGCCTCCCTTGTCCTGTACTTGTGAAGTTGATTTTTGGAAATTAGGTCATTCTTGGCTGTTGTATCAAAGTCTGAGATAATCACTCTATTTTACTCAATCATTTTCTCACCAGAGTATTATCCCTAGATCTCTATAATGGATCACAACCTAGATAGAAATGGATAAATCACTGGGGGAAGAACTCTTTTGCTCTTTCAATCTCTAATCTTTGCTCTCTCTGTCTTGTCATCCTCCTGCAAACTTTAATATCTTCACTCCTGCATATTAAGAACATTGACCCATCAAGACTTATACAACAATGGTTTCGGTCAAGTTAACAGGAAAGTTAAGTGATCACTTTTATTCCTATCATATATTTTCCCATAATACAGAAATAAAAACTTTCTTACATAATATATATGTATATATATATATATATACATATATATATAAATTTTTCTTCCTATAAAAATTTATTTCTACTTCTAGTGGAAATTTGCTGGGGAAGATAGTCTGTGTTTTGTGAGAATTGGAGAAAAGATGTAAGAGGGAGGATTTGCTATTCATGGAAAGGCAGGGTAGTGCAGTAGATATAGCACTGGTTTTGCAATCATAAAAATCTAGGCTTAAATTTCAGCTCATACCTGTGTCACCTGCCATGAGTTGCTTCAACTCTTTGAGCATCAGTTTATTCATTTGTAAAAGGAAGGGTTTGGACAAGATGAAATTTATGATTCCTTTTAACTCCAAGACCTAGAATTCTTTAATCTTAAGTTTGGGTCTTCTTAACTTTGATTAAAAAAAAAAGTCTAGTTGAATATGAGTGCCTTAAGAGAAGGAATTTTTCCTCTTTTGTTTCTGTTGTACCTAGAGCAATGCCTTGAATATCATAGCTGCTCAATGTGTATTAGTGGACTGGGAAGGTTTTGTATCTTCAGCTTAGTGCTTATGTTTTCTTCTCATAGGGTCGAAAATATATACATACATATAACAAATACATATATGTATATGCACATATACATATATGTATATGCACATATACATATACATATGTATATGTATATGCACATATACATGTATATGCACATATACATATACATATGTATATGTATATGAGTTGAGAATAAAAGTCCTTTAGTGGCATCTATCCCTGGACATAGTACTCTAGTGAAAATAAAATCCCTTGTGTGGCTGACACAGGGAAAATGGGAGCAAGGTAAGGAAGGAATTAAAAGTAGCTGGGTGGGACAAGAGGAGTGGGACCTGAATCACTCTCATTCTCTCCCCTCTTCCCTTGCCAAACAGGAACAAGGAGACTTAAACTTAAAGCCTGTGGTGAAAGAAGAATCAGAGCAAAAGGGGAAAACCACGAGAAAAAAAAAGAGAAAATCGTATGCTTCAATCTGCATTCAGGCTATAGTTCTTTCCCTGGATATAGATAGCTTTTCCGTCATGAGTCTTTTGGAATTGTCTTAGATCACTTTATTGCTGAGAAAAGCTATGTCTTTTAAAGTTGATCATAGCATAGATGGGTGCTGCAGTGGATGGAGTTCAGGACCTGGAGTCAGGGAGACTCGTCTTCCTGAGTTCAAATCCAGCCTCAGATATTTAACAGCTGTAAAAAGCGGGAAAAAAAACCTACCCAAAAAAAAACAAAACAAAAGCAAACAAACAAACAAAAAAAGCAAACAAAAACCCCTTCACCCTGCCTTGACAAGGACAGTCTGTATTCCGTTAGGAGAAAAATTATCTGACAGTGCAGCTGCTGTTTCAAGGTGAAAAGGAAAGAAAAGATAAAAAAAATCAGTATCCATTGAAAGATAGAAAAATGATAGGGGGGGAAAAACCCACCTTTTTTCTTAAATTTCTTCTGAAAATGAGGGAGAAGATATGAGAAAGAAGTAAATATATATGTGCATGGCACGTTATGTATAATATGTATGTAGAATTATGTATAATACAAATTCTGCCATTGGAGGATGTTAGCCATTTGGATTACCTGGTCAGGAATTAATAATCTGTATCCTCCAGCCTTCCTGTTTTGGGACTTGTTTGGGTCCTGAAAGGGAAGAGTTTCTAGGTATGACAGAAACAAGGGGAAAAAAATTCCTTTAAGGAGCTTGTATTGAACTTGTCTTTTTTTTTTTTCCTACTAAGACAAAGTTAAGAAAGTCCAAACTTAAAAGCAAAGAATCCTAGGTTTTGGAGCTAAGAGGGATCAAAAATATCATCTAGTCCTATAGGTTTGCTCTTCCTATACTCTCATTCTCATGTTGATATGACAGTTATTGCACTTTCTCTAGTGGAGTACCCAATTCAGAGCAGTCTGTGTTTTCTTGCCAGCTGCCAGTCTCCAAGGAGAAGGAATAAGATCTTGATTTCTCCTGTTTGGTAGTTTAGACTCCAAGAAGTCAATTGCGTCTTGTCACCACATAGGATCCGCTGTATCCATGTTCGATTTTTAGAGACTCGAAAACCACTCTAATCTAGAACAAAGCTTCCCTGTTTTTTTTGTTTTTCGTTTTTTTTTTTCCCCCAAAGGGATGACTGAGTAAGAAGTAAAGCATGGGATTTCATGGTTAATTAGCTAAAACTGAAGGAGAAGCTGTGAAGTTATCCACCAACACAGAGCCTGTGTGGAGTCACACATCAGAACTGTTTCTCCCCAGGCAGCCAAGACTTGCATGAGCTGCAAATGTGGTTAGTGGAAATGAGATCTCAATTCAGCTCGGAAGCATGTGACTTCCTATTTCTGTAAGGTACTTCCAAGGGACTTCCTCTGCAAAGTCGGCTCGAGCCTCTGGAGGTTTTAATCCAGAGCCATAGCGAAGTCTGCCTTCATCCTGGGGCAGAGTTTTCCCGGAGAAAGTGGTGTGAGTTTTGTTTTTCTTTTCTTTTCTTTGCTCTCTTTTCCATGTGCCGGGCCCAGCATGCAAGGATCTGGGAGCTCCTGCTCGGGACTGCAAGCTGAACACCCTTGTACAGGTCTCAGTAATCCACCCAGCAGATCAGAGTGTGACAAGGTACTCCAGCACCGAGACTGTTGAGGTGAGTACGGTGCCTGTTCCTGTGGTAGCTTTGTGGTGACCATGCGCTTTGTCCTTCGGGCTTCAGACATCAGCTGAGATGAATTAAACCCCAGCCTTTAACATTTAGCTACACAAGCAAGCTTACCATTAAGCCTAGCATACCTGACGATATTAGGTGTTTATTGGCAACTGAACAAGGTAAACAATTGGAAATGAAACTTGCCTTTTCATGAAAAGTCTGTCTTTCTGACAGGAAACATGAAACAAAGTTACCACTTCTTACTCTGGCATATTTTCACTAACAAAGACAGAGAGTTTTTACATAAAGTACCAGAACATGGATTATGACTTAAAATTTTTAAGTGGGAATGCTTGGGTATTTTTTTAATCATTTATTTTACAAACATTTCTGATCTCCCCCTTTCATTAATCCTTCCCCTTCTCTCCTCTACTTTGGACAAAGTTGAAAGTTTTGTGTTCTGTGCCTGGTTACCTGTCCAATGTTTCCTTTTTATTCTCATTTTTTGTGGAAATGATGCTCTTTATTTATTGGAGAGCAAACAGAAGAGATTGGAGGGTAGGAGAATGGTATAAATGAGTTTCAAATACTGAGATTTGGCATTGATAAACTATATTCTGAGTTCACTGGAGAGGAAAGGTGTTCTTACTTGTTGGGTATTTCACTATAACTTCGAAACAGAGCACTTTATATTTATTGTAGCTTTCATATGAAGCAGCCAAACTGTTGGAAGTAATTATTGTTTTAGTTCACGTTAAAGGAGGAAATATTTCTCTTTGATTGGATTTACTGTCACTGCAGGTTAGTTTACAATGTTAATGAAGGCAAGCCTGTTACTTAATCAATCTGTCTAATGGAGGAGAAAGTATCCTCCTCACTTCTTCAAATCTGCTTTTTTAAAATTTGGCTCCAGACTATTTTGTTGTAATTTGAACCAGAAGTCATCCTTTGGCTGCTAGCCTCTGAGCAGGATGGTTCAGGACAGACTGCCTGTCTTACTGTGGTTCAGGAACAAGTGATTCAGACAGTTAGACCTGTTTTCTCTGATAGCTATGACCCATATTCTACACACAGCCTGAAGTCTGCCCTGTGGAAACTTTGGGTTCTGGTGACTGAGGGAATTCTGATTTAACTCTGTTGTTGAGGAAATTTACTACAAAGACTTAGTCATCCAAAGAAAACTTTACGAAAATAGCAAAATAGGTTGTTTTAGATGGAAAAATATGTTTCAAGTCATTTCCTGTGCCACTTTAGAGTTCTGTCTTTAATAACCTTACCAGGAAAACTAGAATTAAATATTGTGACGTATTTCAACACTTTAATTTTTAGGCAGACCACTTTGGCAAGCTGAAATTGCCATATATACATAGGTAGAAAACCCCTGGTTTGCAGGATGCCATCAAACTGTACTATGGTATTCATTCAAAGTAATAATGATAACAACAATAATAACGATTTGATGTTGCCTGTCAACATCTTAAAAATGAGTTGTGGGGTATTAAAATATCTTATGTATACACTGGGCACTAATATTTTAATGGGAGAAAATCCATCATATTTTTCATTGTACTTACGGTTTCTCCTATTAGTTTACAAGTCAGGCTGGTCAAAAAGCAGAGCTGAATGTGCAGAAACAAATGAACTCTCTTTCTCAGAGCATGATAGTCACAAATGAGTCACTGATAAAATAAAATGAACGACCAATCTTATACTACAAGCCATAGAGAGGTTTGCTGGGAGAGCAGTGCTCATTTTTTTTTCTCTTGCTTTAATCAGCCAACATCTTAAGTTGTTTGCACAAGTCCTGTCCACTCCACTTAAATGCACTCCGAACAGAATGACAGCCAGCCCTCAGGAAGGACTCCACCAGACAGAGAAAATAAATTGTTTATCATGACCCAGCATGAGCGGGTCTGATAAATGATGACAGGGCCTAGTGAAGGCATTTATTACTATCAAGTAGCTTCCTCTACATCCCAGAAACACCTCTCTCTCTGGTGTGATCAACTTTTTGTGCACCGAAGATTAGGCCACTGTGGATGAGTGTCATTTGGCCAATTAGGTCTCTTTTTCTTGTATGGCAAGTATTTCCTGGGGGTAAGGGGAGAGGGCAAGGAGGCCCTAAACATTCTTCGTGCCCTCTCATCTGTTTCTGCATTCTAAGCTGCCGACTGCTGTTACCTAACTGAATCCAGGCCTTCTGCTTGTGTTATCCAGGGTACAAGAAACCCACTGTTTTTGACGGGTGTGACATTTCCACCTGAATACCCTATCTATGAGGAGACCAATATCAAATTGACAGTCTATGATGTCAAGGATAAGTTTCATGACACGGTAAGTACTCGACTTTCAATTTTATTTCAGAAATGAGAGAGTGGAGCTTTCCTAAACCGTTGGCTTTTCTTTCCTAATGGACTCTCCATACCCCATTTATAGAACTTTGATAATATGTCATTTTGTTATGTTTATCTCACCTTGTACCAAGAAGCTGAAGGTCTTTGATTAGGAGTAAACAATGTGGGAATCTTTTTCTGGATTTTATTTTGTGATTCTTGAGTGGGTTACAAAGGAAGTCTCCATAGACTGAGGGGGTTAATGTTTTGTGCTTCTCTTTAATTGGTGGGCAGAGAACATATGGAATAGATTGAGTTCAACAATCCTTTCCAAAATATGTTACTAATCAGATAATGCTGCTCACATTGAAAACCAGTGGAATAGTGGAGTCTTTGACTATGAGGACCATGAATGTGCCTCATATTTCATTGCACTCATTTCCATACTGAAAACCTAAGTTTCCTCAAAACGGGCACTTTTATTGACTTCCAAGTGGAAGAGAGAGGAGGAAAATGGAAACCGTCAACCTTCATCTGGTGATTTACATCAAGGCTTTTACAGGGCCAACCTCAGCCATGATCAAAGTAAGTAATTCCCCATTATGCAATTCTAGAGGCTAAAAAACTTCATTTATGCTTACTTACTAGCTATGTGAGCTTGGGAAAGTCATTTCTCTGAGTTTCATTACTGGTAAAATGGGCTTAGTGAGGTTTTCACTACCTATTTTACAAATTTGTGATAAAGATAACAATAGCTCATTATTCAGCCCTTTTAAGTTTTACAAAACACTTTACACTATCTCATTAGATCATTACAAATAATACTTTGAACTAAGTGCTATGATTATCTTCATTTTACAGTTGAGGAAACTGAGGTTCAAGCAGGTTAAGTAATTGATTCAGGGATACATGGCTAGTATGTGTCTGAGGTGGAATCTGAAACTAGGACTTTGTGATTCCGTGTATAACACTCCATACATAAAGGCAGGATCCCTTTCTGGGCCTGAGTTTCCTTCTCTGTAAAATGACAGAGCCTCTTCTAACTCTGAATCTTTGATTTGAAGATAATAGGAATATCAAAATGTCTGAGATTTCTAAGGGGGAGAGAGTTCCTTGATAAGTGGGGGGAGGGGAGACTACTTTCACCCAAAAGATCCCTTGGTAGACGTGTCTGAGAGAGTTGTCTGAAACACATGTGACTTGTCCAAAGTCATTTGGCTGGTAAGTGTCAGAGACAGGATTTGAACCCAGGTGGTCCTGGCTCCAAGTCCAGAACTCTGACATTTCAAGTCATTTTACCCTTTTATAAATCTCTATAAATTTTATTTATTATTATCAGGCCACTTTTTATATCTACCAGTCAACCAGGGCCTCACAGAGTCTTCCTATATGGCCTAAAATGTTGGACATTTAAAGTTATTTTTCTGGGTTGGACTACAAACAAAGGAAGAGATACTTTTTCAGAAAACTACTTTAATAGAATGCAAAGAAGAAGACAACTTTCTCCTTTAGTCTCACAGCATTGCCATGGACAAGCTGATCTATTTAACTAGTTGGCTTCTCAGAAGGCACACATAGCAGAGTCCAAAGAGATCATAGTGTAGGATAGGTATAGCACCCTGCTAGTTGTCAGCCTTTTCTAAATATTTGTTGAATGGAAATAGACAGGTATAATTCAGTCATACCAGGGAAGAGGTCTAGGTACTTGAGACGATAGCCTGATCTTCTTGCCAGGCCTACCTTTGGGATGAGACACGGTCTGCGCCCCCAGGGAACATGGCAGAACCTAACCAAGATGCAGAGTGGGGAATGTGCTCCTTTCCATCTTACCATTTATACCTCTGACTCATACCTTCTATCTTTCTCCCCTATCAGTTTTGTAAAATAGAGAAAAAAAATGAAGTGTGATGGAGAAGAAAAATCGCTGAACTGGGAGGTCAGGACACATATGTTCTAGTACTAGTTAAGACATTCACTAGCTTGCTGACACTGAGCAAATGACTTCACCAAGTATCATAGGCACTAGAAAGAACTTTAGAAATCATAGAGGAAAATTGTCTCATTTTACAGATGCAGGACCTTTGACTCAGGGAGGTTGAGAGATCTGTCCAAGGTCACTTCCAGTTAGCAAGTGGAAGAGTCAGATTTCAAACTGAGGCTTTGGAATTCCAAATTCAGTGTACTTTCCAATACCTCAGTTTCTTCATTTGTAAAAAATGTTTAGTTTGGGCTCTGTGATGCCTGAGGTCTCTTCTGACTCTGCACTATATTTTCTGCTCCTATATTAATTCTGGAAGTATTGGGACAAAGAGATACTTTAAAAAAAGATATTCTGAACAATAAAGAAGTTATCTTAGCTCTGAGGTTCATTGAAAGAACATGTATTTTCACATCAAGGGAATAAATACCCAGTGTGATGGCAATAAGAATAGTCAGAGTAAAGATATATTTCGTCCTTGTAACTAAAGGCAGATAAGACAAATCATGGGGAAACAAATCCAAAGCTATTTTTTTCAAAGACCTTTTTTCAAAAAAAATTATAGCTTGGCAATTTTGCTTTTACTTTCTATTACATTGCATTTTCTGTCTTAAACTAGACTGAAAGAATTTGGGGTGGTGGTGGTGGTGAGGGATGGTGAAATTGATTTAACCTTGACAACTAAAAAGAATTTGTAAGTTTGTGCACCTTTGCCTTCTCCCCTCCCTTCCTTTACACAGTTAACCTCTCTCTCTCGCTTTCTCTGTCTCTCTCTCTCTCTCTCTCTCTCTCTCGCTCCCTCCCTCTCTCTTCTTTTCTCCTCCTCCTCCTCTCTCTCTTCTTCTTTCTCTACCCTCTATCTCTCTCTCCTTCTCTCTCCCTCCTTCCCTCTCTCACTTGCCTGTCTTTTTCTTCCTCTCTCTTCCTACTCTCCTCTCTCTTTCCTCCTCTTCGCTTTTCTCTTTCTTCTCTCTCTCTCTATATATATTTATCTTTTCTATTTTCCTGTCTCTCTGTATGTCTCTGTTTCTCCTTTTCTGTGTGCATGTCTCTCTCTCTCTCTCTCTCTCTCTCTCTCTCTCTCTCTCTCTGTTTCTCTCTATCTTTCTCTCTGCATCTCTCTATCTCTTCCCAAGAGAAGCAAAGTGCTGACTTGTCTGTGTTTGTATTGGGGTGGGGTAGAAGATGGCAGGAGAAAAGGAAGGAACACTTGTTCAGGTTGAAGTAGAGAGTCATAGTGATGGAGAATGAATGAGTGAAAAAACAGTTAAGTGCTTACACTGTGCTAAGTGTTGGGGTTACAAATAGAAAAGTAAGATGGTTTCTAGTCTCAAAGAAATCATATTTTAAAGGGAAGAGACAACATATATAAAAATTTCAGATTTAAATTCAGAGGTTTCTGATGTTGAACCATTTGTTAATGCCAAAGACTTATGCTTCCTAGTCTGGGTTTTTAAGAGTTGTGGCTGCTGAGGTACCTGCAGAGATAGTTGCCAGGGAGAACCTCCACAATGGTTGTATCCCTAGATGATGACCCAAATTAGGGTTGGTGGGTACAAGGTTGGAGATGAGGGTAGAGGTGGCACTGCTGTTCCTGGGGCATGTTTATGGCACTTGGTTAGTATTTGGTGCCAGTGGGGGTGAGCATGATAGGCCTCTTCTCCGCAAGGATTCTGTACTTTGGTGAATGCTATGGACAGACCAGACTGGAAGCAAGGCTGATGATCTGGGGAGTGATGGAGAGAGTATGTTTGATATGATGTTGGTGGAGGTAGTGGTGGTTTAGCTTGCCTAGCACATGCCACCTCCTGTTTCTTTCTCAGGGTGTATTACTGCTTCAGCTAGACTAGGTGTCCTGCCCCAAATGTGTTATTGGTTGGCAGGTGGGATGGAAGCTGGCAGTAGGGATGATGTCTCCTTTCTTCATAGGGATTGCTTCCTTGGATGGTGGCTGAGTGTAGATACAAATGGCACAAGCTAGAGGCACAAAGGAAGGTCCAATCCACTGTACTTTTCCAGGTACTGCCATGTGCAAAACAGATCCTCCTTCTAACAAACCTGTAAGATACAACCAAAATTGACCATGGGGCCTACATCCTAGGTATCACTTCTGTTACTTCCTAAATTGTTTTTGTTTCTGACATGAACTTCCGCAAGTGATTTTCCTCCTCTCCTACATGTGTGTCCATGCTAATGCCTACACCAGGGAAAAACAATTAGCTAATTCATTAATTAGACTTTTTGCAGATCTCCATTATGAAAACTAACAATTGGTTTGCTGTCAAGGCTTTCTTGCTTATCAGAGGGGTCACAACATTAAAAAATTGGCTGCTGCTGGGAAATGAAAGATTTTTAAGATTCAAACATACTTATAAAATGCAAATAATCAGAAGAAAGCATAACAAATATTTGTCATTTATTCTGAGACCCTAATTAAAGCAGAACCTTTTATTCAAAACATTGAGAAATTAATTTTAGTGATGGAAGAGTTGTTAGAAACTCAGTTCACTTACATACTACTTGTACATCCTACCCTTTGAATACCAGCCTACTTGGGATCTTTAGACTGGTAGTTTTGACTTATGCTTCTTTTTAGAGAGTAATGTGTTTATGAAGTATTACCAGTAGATATTTGTGTATAAATTCATTGTGCTGCTGTTGTTCAATTGTTTGTCGTTTCTGACTCTTTGTGACCCCATTTGGACGTTTTCTTGGCCTAGATGCTGGAATGGTTTGCCATTTCCTTCTCTACCTTATTTTATAGATGAGGATCTGAGGCAAACAGGGTTAAGCGACTTGGTCAGAGTAACACAACTAGTAAGTGTCTGGGGCTAGATATGAACTTAGGCCTTTCTGACTCCAGGCCTGGTGCTCCATCCACTGCCTTACCTAGCTGCCTAGTCATTCATTGGAATAAAAGATAAATAAATCACGCATGATTAATTCTGACCATCAATGGAATACTTCAATGGGATGCTTCTTATTCATTACAAGATCTGTTCTCCTTTGCTTCGGCAAGGTAA